GATAGAGGTGATCACGGACGGACGCACGGACGCACACAGGGCAAAACATAAGTCCCCGTTTTCGGACTACGTCCGAACGGGGACTAAAAATGTCAAAATGATGAGGTTCAAAACGCTTGCTGAAAGCTTCCACAGACGGCCAAAATCGATGGAAAAAAACCGAGGTCAGCTGGAAATGTATTGAAGTGTCCATCACCACACAAATTTCAAGGGTGGTGGTCGTCGTGCCGCATCCTGTTTGATATGGGACTCACAGCAATGTATACAACGCATGTAAAATACATTGTTTACATGAAATTCGAACATGCGCTGCGCGATGACCACCACCCTTTCACATACTTATTGGAACAATGTTTAATTCTACACCTTAAAAAAACTCAAACTTAGAGGGCAGCACATAACAGCAATTACTATACAAAGTAGCTGGTGAGTGAACCTATAATGAGATAAATCTACAACATGATTGTCCAGTTGCTAGGTTACTTAGCACATACAAGTGTTGATTCCACAACAAGAAAGCGGGGTTATTTTATGACCATTCATTAGTAGACAGTTTTCTGCGTCATACATGCCTTGGAATGTAAGTATAAAAAGATGACAGTAATTGGAATTTAAGCATACAAAGATTGTAATTATTATCTGCAATCCGTAAGTATGAACTGATATGTTTCTAATATTTATGAAATTTTCTAAGGCAATGTAACAATGCCTGGACTAAACGCATATTTGGTATGACACAGAAGCTTGTATAATCTCGCCATAAACCTGCATATGTCTAATACTAGTAAGTGAAATCAAAATTGGTAGAATCCCATGCCTACCAGCTATACATTCCCTTATTGATCAAACACCTGCATATTTAAAAAATTTAAATAAATGTAATACACAACAAATTTTTAAACTAAATACGGTCTTGTGATTGACATTAAATACATATGAAAACACTGCAAGTGAAATTGACAGGAAATATTGCATAGTCAAGTCAGACAAACCCCAGGACTACAATATTTTAACTCTTCATAACACTTAAAACATTCACCTTACAAAAAAAACAAAAATTCATAAAACAGCAACAAGATATAATCTAATATAGAGAACTATATTACTGTCAAACCTGTGTATAGTCGCCATTTATAAGGAGCTTAATTTATTCATGAATCAATTACAAGGCACATTTGCAGCTAAGAATAAATAAAAATAGGGTGGTCACTAGTATACACAGGTTCCTTTGATCAAACCAGTGCTAGGGTGGTCACTGGTATACACAGGTTCCTTTGATAAAACCAGTGCTAGGGTGGTCACTGGTATACACTGGTTCCTTTGATCAAACCAGTGCTAGGGTGGTCACTGGTATACACAGGTTCCTTTGATAAAACCAGTGCTAGGGTGGTCACTGGTATACACTGGTTCCTTTGATAAAACCAGTGCTAGGGTGGTCACTGGTATACACAGGTTCCTTTGATCAAACCAGTGCTAGGGTGGTCACTGGTATACACTGGTTCCTTTGATCAAACCAGTGCTAGGGTGGTCACTGGTATACACTGGTTCCTTTGATAAA